CTGGCCCACTACCACCACAGCAAAATGCTATCTTCATGTACTCAATGGAAAACCCCACACAACTTGAGTGTCAACATTTTTGTCAAATAACTTATCAAGCATAATCTCAATAAGACTAACCTGTTCAAGATATATAATCGTCTGAAATGCCCTCCACTTTGGTAACAATATAGCATCCTGAGAAAATAAATAACGCTCCATTAAAACAAAGTGCCAAATCTGATCAGTGGCCCTTCTTTTTTACAAATATAAAACTGCAGTAAAAAATAACAGGTAGCACAGAAGCTAAAAAGACCATTCATTTTCATATCGTCAAAATGAGGCGGCAAGGGGGTCAGTTAATTAGCTAATAGCTAAATCAGAAAGCAGCTATTTGTTAACATTGCCGTTAAAATGCCATCCTATGACAAATCAAAACCTATAAAGAAAAATAATAAAGGGTTACAAATTAAAGCTTTTCCGATTCTAACATTTCCATTCATTTTTTGCTGCTCTAGGATGTGGGGACAGGGGATTACTGATTTTGACATATGCCAGATATCGTACCTTATAAGTGTCCCTCACATCAGAAATAGAGAAGGCCATCTCCAACACAGGTTCCTCTTCAGTGGCCGACAGCTAAAAGAGTTTTGTCATGCAAGACATGCTTAGAGAGTCAGTTCAACTAAAATGAAAAGGAGACAAACATAAAGAGATGCTACAAGAACATGGGAACATACTGCTTAACGGAATTGTGCAGACTAATCAACGAAGTCATCTCACATTTCAAGATCTATTCAAAGTTTATCGGTGGTTCAAGTTTATCTTATTGCCAACTTCAGTGCGGAATACCGAAAATGAAAAGCAGAGACAACTGTTCCGATCAGGTAAATCCTGAAGGCTACCCCGGCCTTGCAAGGGAAGATGACAACCATCTCTCCTTTGTATGACCAAGACATTTTTAGTTGTAAACATGCAGAGCACCAAAAACAATATTTGCATTCTGGACTGGCTAGATGATTTGTACATGCATGTTAATGTTTGCCTGACAAGTACAAACATAGTGCAGAAAGACCAAAGAATATAAATGTCTCCTGATTATTCTCCCGTATTTACCATAAACCTGTTGACATGCCATAGAGAATGATGCTTTTGATTCACTAAAAATCCACAGAAATAAAGAGTACATAAGATTGGTGAAAACTCTTGACATCTCAATTCCTGGTCACTGCTCTACAACAGTCCACAAGCTTCTAAGAAGTGTATAAGTTAAAAAATTGTTATACATGACCAATTGCTTCTATAGTTGGCTCTAGGATATCTAGGGAAAGAAGGCAGCACTACAATAACATCTAGGTGCACTTTATCAAACAAATAAAAAAACATTTAGGTGCATGATGCTTTTTGGAATCAACATAATATGCTTAATGTTTCAATGGAGTTTGATTAGTTAAAAGGGACAGAGGGCCTGAAGAAACCAAGGAAGAAACAAAAAGTCAATAGTGGAACAGCATATAAGAAAACATCTATGAAATGAAAAAATAATGCATTCATCTGCTGCAATTAAAATTCTCCATAATTCTATTACTCAAATAACTTAAGTACTCAAATATGCTACATTGATCGGAGGACAATTTTGACAAATGATAGTACCAAATAAGCTTACCATAAGAGAGTAAGCTTTCCATAAGAGAGTACTTAACCGGTTATGCACATTCTCATTTACGAACACTACATAGTGAACTTGATACCCACTAGCTGTACTCAATATCATTACCTATACTCTACAACAACATTCCTAGTTCAATCCCACAAGTGGAGTCTAGGGAAGGTAGGATGTATGCAGACCTTACCCCTACCTTTATGGGGTAGAGAGACTGCTTCTGACTGAACCTCGGCTAAAAGAAAAGAAGAATTAGAAGCACGATTATAAGAAAATAAGACAGAAAAAATTAACAGGATACAAAGCAAATATGACAACAGATAGTACTAATAAACACTGAAGAACAAATAAGACTAAACAACAGATAATTACCTATACTCAAATAAGACTAAATCAAAGTAATGCAACTGGATACAAAATAAATTCAAGTTCTGGCTTCTAGTTTCCTTTTACCCATAAAAATAAATCTACTGGAAACTTCAACTGGGAACTGCAATATTAACCTTTAGTCGCTTTTGCTTGCTCAGTTCGTGCTCTGAATCTCCCTTCTCATATGTTTACAAGCCAGATGCAGGAAATCAGTGAGAATAAATAAGTCAATAGCAGAAAAAACAGCTCCACTATCACTTAATGTTACCTGTGCACAAGTTTCCTTTTGTTTTCTGTCAATCTTATCTGAGTTTGCATCGGAAACCTGTAAATTAATCGCTTCATTGTCAGCACAAGTGAAGTTCCAACAAACTGACTTGTTCGACAGGGTACCTCGACTTTAAAATTTACATAATAGTACAAACTCGGGAATAAAATAAGTCCAGCAAAGCTTCAAACTTCAGGAAGTAAAAGCAACAGGTGAAAAATTTGGCAACTCAACTCGATGACAATATAACTTGAAACATTTCCCAATTAAAGAAAACTAGAAAAGGATTTGAAGCAGCACGACTTGGTCAAACTCATGTCTTGAGTTTCAAATAGAGGGAATTCTAAGTGGAGTCAATTTCAGCCTATATATATTTAAAAACGGTAAGCTGCTACTTTGAGGTATTAAAAAAGTAAGCTGCTACTATGCTACCATAACAAGCACTTTATACTTGCATTACAAATGCCTAAAGAATTTAAACACTAAAGAAGACAGCACCTTCTGCAAAGTTGCAATCTCGGTGTTAATCAATTTCTCCAATGTTTCTTTATCTTTGTTCTGCATAAATCAGAAAGACAAGCTTAGCTGCAACGAAGAATATTATCAACTAAAAGAGAAACCTTTTAGTTATCAAATAAAACACCGAGAATAAAGTATAGTTTATCAAGATGGCAAAAAGACTCTATAATGAAATAAAGCTGCTCCAAGTCAGGTGGTGTCAAATACAATTGCATGCACCTACAACTATTTGATAACAAAATTGACTTAGTGCAGGACTGCAGGTATATATTTAACAAAAGTTCATATACGTAGCTCTAGCGGAAGACAATTTATGCCATGCTCACCTATAGATACAACTAAAATAAGATACTTTTTTTCACACGAATGGACAATCAAATAAACGGCTTAAAATGCATATTGAAAAATAAAGATAAAAAATACACCTAAAGTGTCGAGGTTTTTCAAGTTTCATACCTAAATTATTTGTGAGTACTACGTGAACTATAACCAACTATTTATCAAAAACACACCTCAAAATATAAGTTGTTTCCTTTTACTGCCTAAAATATCACCAAGTTAAGGTAGGAAATAGGAACCATTGATAATTAAGGTGTATTTTGATAAATAATTGGTGATAGTTCAGCTAGAAAACTCACAGACTTGATAGTTAAGTTTGTATTAAGCTCAAAAAACTGGGGACATGTGTTTTTGACTCGTCACTCTAAATAATTCAGTAAATACTCCACATGCAAATTGCAAAAAGGTGTTTAAATTTAGTCCAAGTTCTAGAAATGTATACCTGAAGCAATGAGAATCCAGTGATGTCTTCCACAGAGGAGACGAAATCAGAACTGAAAGGGAAACAATCGAGATGATGCCATTTTGTCTGGTCAAAGCCTTGAGGATGTTTTGACACTAATCCCAGCCTTACGGATTTCGCCGGAATCTTCTCGTCGCATTTCTTACATGACGATCGACCGGATTTCGCGTACTCAACTGTGACTTTTGTTGAAGACGCCATTGAAGAAACAAATAGTAGAACAAATCTAGGGCTAAAATTGTTGGGTCTGTAAGGAACTTTGAAGAAGCTGGAGATGTTTATGCTTAGCATTTAAGAGTAAATAATGGAGATTTTAGGGATTCCTTTTCCCGCCATTAAAGACTGTTTGGTTCCAATTCCCAACTTCTCATAAGTTCAACCCAAGAGACATTTTGGAAAAGGAAAAGGATTTTTATCATAAATTTGTAATTTTATTTATATAAATTTTAATATATTTTATTCTCGTTTGACTTGAGAATATTGACGTTTGCCTTTCCGAACCAATGCACGTTATTTAATAGGTCATTGCGGACGCTCGTAAAAGATTTCGGTCAAAGAGTTGTCGGGCACACATGTCACCCAAAATTCATGGACTACACACGAAAAATGGAAAACTCTCTATTTTCCGTTTTGAATCTCGTTTGAACTTGAAAATATTGATGTTTGCCCCCTCTGAACCAATGCATGCCATTTAATAGGTCGTTACGGACGCCTACGAAAAATTTCAGCCAGAAAACCACCGGACGAACATATCACCCAAAGTCCATGGTAACAAATACGAAAAAAAAAAGATCTCTATTTCTCGTTCGGACCTCATTTTATTTAAAGATTACATATTTTATATAATATTTCATTTTTAATGAAATGAATCAAATATTCATCCATCAAATATTTCACTAAGCAATCCCATTATTATTGTTGCTCATATTATAATAGAAAATAACTTATTTTCAATCAAACGATTCAAAACCTCAGTGAAAGATGAGTTCTTATCAATATTACTTTTTGAATAACTAAGAAGTCGTGAATTTAAATCATGGAGTGAACAAATTGAAAGACTCGTATAGGAAGGGGCAAGTGTAAATCATTATTTCACTTAAAAAACTATTCAAATTTGGATATTTTTATTTTTCAACTTTTAACCAATCTTCAAATATCATTTTAGTGTGATTATCGTTTTATTGCAATGACTCTGTTATAATATTTTGTCATGACTTTCTTTATTTTACTATAGTTATTTTTTATATATAAGTATTATTTTGGACCCTTTTTTCAATCAACCTGACGGTTATAAATGTATCGAAAACATTCTCTATACGTCTAACATAGTAATAAAATCTACATTGATTAATGATTATGTTATTGTTGAAATCTCCCAATATAATTTGAAATACTTTGAATTAAGTCAAGGTCTTATTATTTCAAGCGCCTAGGAGGCCAACACTTCATAAAACCCTTCAATTCTACATAGACCAAGAAGAAATTTTAGAAAGCAAAAATGGCCTGGAAAACCGATACTGACCTCGAAAATTCCGACCCAATTCCAGATTCCGGCGATGTTGAGTGGCCTTGTAAACCCGTCGTTGAATCTTCAGGCTGGCCTACTAGTTGGCAAAACGACAGTAACAAATCAAAGCTACAAACCCCTTTGCCTACCGCCGAAGACGAAGCTGCGAACAACAGTCAACTTCCGGCATTGCTCAAAGTTGCTGAATATTTGAACTCCACACTCAGTCTAGACGACGATGACGAGTTTTCTGAGTATATAGGTGAAGATGGGGATTATTTCATCAATGGGGATGAGGGTTTTCTGGATGGGGAAGAGGGGTTTCAGGACTATGATTTTTTTGTGAAGTTGTTTAAGCAGGATGATGGGTTAAGAGAGTACTATGAGAAAAATCGAGAGAATGGGGTGTTTTGTTGTCTTGTTTGTTGTGGGGTTCGTGAGAAAGGGTGGAAGAGGTTTAAGGATTGTTCATCTCTTGTTCAGCATTCCATAAGCATTGCGAAAACCTCCAAGAGACGAGCACATCGGGCTTACTGTAAGGTCGTCTGTGAAATTCTTGGCTGGGATGTTAATAGCCTGCCTTCCATTGTCCTCTCTGCAGGCGTTAAGCTCGGTGAATCTTCTGATAAACCAGTTAAGGCTCAGGTAACTGTTTACTGTAAGTTTTGGTTTTAATTGGACATAGCTCAACAATTTGATTGTCAATCCCCAAATAGATAGATAGACTGTTATATGCTGAAATTGTTAGTAAGTTTATGTCCTATATGTACAAGCTTCGAGCTATCGAAATGCTTATGTCAAGCAGAGTGAAATAAATATGTCTGTCAAGTCATTACCTTGACATGCAAAGCCAATGTTTTTATCAGTTTGCAATCTTGCAGGGGAATGTAGATGATGATGGTGGGGATGACGGTTTGAGTGGTCATTGCAAATCCACAAGTTCTGTAAGTGTCAGCGATACTGAAGTGTCTCTGTCGAAGTTGTCTTTGATTGATGAAAGCCAACAAGGAAAAGATTGTTGCTATCCAAAATTAGAGGTCCGTTTGATGGCTAGTAGTTTCTGTGTACTATGTATATTGAATGAGATTATGCTAACTGTTAGCTGACCTGTATTTTGTATTTAGCAGAACTCTCTAAGTGGAGCCATTGTTGATAGAAGCTTGGGAGATCTCGGCAAAGGTACTTCTGAAACAACCAAAGAGAATGCTGAGGGGGTGAGTTTTTTGATATTGCATTTTGTTCCCATGGTAATGTCCTGCTATGCTAAGTTGCTCGGACTCGGGTGCGGGTGTCCGATACGGGTGCAGATCTAGAGGTCAGATCCTTCATTATCTAATTTTTAAGATTCGGGGATATGGATCCATGTATGGATACGGGTACGGGGATTCGCCTAAAAATAATTAAAATATCTAAAAATAGAGTTGTAAAAACTAAATTATGAGATATTTTGTGGAGAACTTGGCGAGAATCCTAGAAGGCGATTAAAGGAAAAGGAGTGACATAGAAATTTCTATACAAAAGGTATTTCATTTTCTTCAATTTCATCTTAGCTTTTGTATTGATTATAGAAATCATTAAAACTGTCCAGTCTTTCCCCATCGATTTTGGTCAAAGTATCCAACATTGGTTGACCAAATCGGACACAGATCCCACACCCACACCCATGTCGTGTCCGGCACCAAAAGTGAAGAGTCCGAGCAACTTAGGTATAGTCAAGTGTCTGGACTTGCATGTATGTTATTGTATTTTATCTTCAGCATAATTCACTTGCAAGTGAAGATCCCAGCAGTAGGATTACGAAAACACTAAATAAGAATTGTGTGTGTGTGGGGGGGGGGGGGGGGATTGTCATGTCCAGTGAAGCTTTTGGGCTCGTATCTCTTCTTTTCAATTTCTGTCCTGTGTATATCTCTCTATTTCTTCTATGTTATGATTATTATGGAGCTGGAATTTCACACCATTTGATTGGCTTGTATGTTGTTTTAGGAGAATTCTGTGAGCAAAGCTGGTGTTGATGGACTCTTGGAAGATCTCAGCTTTCTTACTCTTGAAACACAAAAATTGAATGCAAAGGGTGCATCTGATCGTGTGGTAAGGCTTCGTGTCTTTTACTTCTTCATAGAATGTGCCATGTATACCCCCCTACCAGGTTGCTATCCAATATTTACTTACCTTCTCCATCTGCCTATGGAATATGTCACTGTTAGTATTTGAAAGGTAAAGCAACAACCATTTTCTCAATTATTTTCAACATATAAGAAAAAAATTATGTTTATAGTACTTTATCTCGTCCAATTTATATGTCTTATGCACTGTTTCATTAAAAAAATTAATGTTTATAGTACTTTTTCTCATCCAATTTATATGTTTTACTTTGGAACGTCAAAATGTTTGACACTTTCACATGTTTCGACCCACAACTCTTGTCCCATATGTAGCACTGGCGAGGAGACTTTAATTCACATATTCAGTGAATGTACAATTGCAAAACATTTTTGGAACTCTCAAAATATTCATATACACTCATCTACCAATACTTGTAATTGGCTTCAGAACTTTAAAACCATTTCGCCTACCCTACCTCGTACCCTATTACAATGGGACTTTTACTTCCCTCTTGTCCTCGGGTATATATGGATCAACAGAAACCACAATGTTTTCAACAATTCTGCCAAGGAAATCCCTTCCATTCAGACCACAGCCGGAGTTTTAGAATTGATGTACTCCATAAACTCGACAACCATTTATATTAAATCGTTTATCCCCAGCCTCCCACTGCCGATGGTTTGAAACTTAATGTGCAGATTGCTTACAATCCGACCACTTCCGTTCAAGGAATAGGTGGAGTCTTTAGAGACAATAATGGTAACTAGATTAGGGGCTTTTCTAGAAAAACTACTGCACTAAACCCCACTCACATAGATCTCAAATTCATGAAAAACTCCAAACTGCATGCACTCACAAACTCCCAGATAAAAACTGATGCCACAGAGGTAATAGCTCTTATGAATAACCCTCCCCCACCTTATTCTAACATTATCCCTGAATCCAGGTGCCTTGTGAAGAAACTGGGGAATCCTCCAATCTGGCATAGTTTCCGCGAAGGGAACAAGGTGGCACACATTTTGGTAACTGAAGATTCCAAGAAATCTCCTCTACATCAGCTTAGTGTTTTTTGTTGAATGCACCGCCATGGATTAGTACCAACCCTACAACAAGATAACGAAGGCTACTATATTAGGAAAAAAGTCAAGTCTCTCGGTTTGTAATAGTCTAGTAAAACTTGGAAACTAAGTATCTCATTAACTCAAATGTAGTAGCTAGTAGTACTGCCAACTATGGTATAACTGCTACTTACTTGAGATCTCAGTTCTAGGTTATGCCTTAATTTCTACTTTTGCTTGTTTATAGATGCATGTTGTTGAGACTTTAGAGAATATGGTTCTGTATTTAGATGGAAAATCTCTGTTGGATGAATGAGGAAACAACGGTTGGTTGGTGTTTGAGGTGAACCACTTTGTTTAAAAAGACGTAATAGTGGTTGATTTGGCATTGACAACAAATAGTTGGAATGTTTTTATGCTAATGAGAGGTAACAGGTACCTAATGGGATGATGAAGGTGCACACAAGTTGGCCCCGTCACCACTATATTGACGACAATGATGGGACGAGCAAGCAAAGTTTTATTGTTTTGCTCAGCAATATTTTGATATATAATGCGACTTCTAAAGAAAAATGTATGACATGACAACTCTAGTTCTAGTTTTTAGCCCAAAAAATAAAAAAGAAAGAAGAATTTTTAAACGCTGTAATGAGTGATTGTAATAGTTAAAGAATCTCAATTTAAATTTATAGTGGTTAATCAATCCCCAAGAGAATAAAACTAATACTCAAGAAGTCTAATTTTCCTTTTCTTTCTTCGTGTGAAAATAAATTATAGGTGCTCAAATATTATATAAAATATTCTATTTTAGCAGATAAAGGAATAAACTGACCATATTGAAGAGGAGGAATATAAAATTACAATAACTTCTAATGGGGAAAAGAAAAAAAGAATTTTAAAAAGACCAATTTGGATAGACCATAAACCTCAAAGTTGCAAACTTATCCGCATTGTCAAATCAATAGATACTCCCACCGTCCACTATTGTTTGTCAGAATAAAATCATGCACAATCTTTAAGAAAAATTTAATATAAGGTGCAATTTAACTAATATAATCCTATTATTAATCATTATTAAAATGATTTGTACTTTTTGAAAACTGTAAAAACAATTTTTTCACATTAAAATAGTCTTGTAACTTTAAAAACATTTTTTTTCACATTAAGGGTAAAATTGAAAAAAAGTGACTAATTGTTTCTTGATGGTTTAAGTTGACAATTAATTTTGGAGAACTATTTTTAATATACCTGACAAACAATAGTGGACGGAGGGAGTACATAACAATATTAAATATTTACATTTATTGCTTAATCATAGTAAACTAATATGAGTATTTTATCATTATATCTATATTAATTGATGTAAGTAATTAATATTGAAGGGTAAATATGAAGAAAAAAAAATGCTAAAATGACAAATAAATTTTTTAAAATATCTTTAATTCAATAAACAAGAAAAAAATATTTAAAATAATTATTTAATTATAACTATGCATTGATTTGAATAATCTTGTGGCTTTAAACATGTCATGTGGAAAGCTGAAATTAAAATGTTACCAAAAAAGAAAAGATGTCATTCTTTTTTAAACAGACTAAAGAGGAAAGGGGGTCATTCTTTTTAAAACGGAAAAAGTAACTTATTTCATCACTATGCTATAAACGATGAAATAAATTATCCAAAACATACTAGTTGAACAAGACATCAAAATTTTATCTCGACACCAAACCATTCGTCTATATAAAGGACTAAGCACAGAAATGGAATAATTTTGAAGAGCGTACTAACAAAGCGAAAGGAGAAGCAAGAGAGAGATTTTTCCCGCAGAAGAAAAACAAAAAATGAGTGGAGGATTATCACAAGACTGGGAGCCGGTGGTGATCCGGAAGAAGGCGCCGACCGCCGCCGCACGCAAGGATGAGAAAGCTGTTAACGCTGCCCGTCGCTCCGGTGCTGAGATCGAAACCGTCAGAAAATGTTCGTATCCTACTCGCTGCTTTGTTTTTTTTCATTTCTACAACGCTCATATATATGATGCTGTTCTAATTATTAACCTTAGCTTAGCTTTGTTAATTTTATAATAATTTTTGTATTGATCATTAGTTCGATTGCTTGTATAATCTGTTGATTTTATTTCGATAGAGATTTTTAGTTCGATTATTGTTGCTGGCTCTTGTATTGCTCAATTTTCTTATTTCTATATGCAGCTCCGATTATGCTAAGTCTTCAGCTAGGGTTTTCATTATTTTTTTTGGTTACGATTATTGCTTGTTTCTATGTGTTTATGTTAGATTGATTGATGTACGTGCCTATTTTAAGCTATTTCAAGTATGCATATTATTTAGTTGAAATGTTTGGTGTATTATCTCTGCTGTGGGATGGGGTGCTTATGAAGACCAAGCTTGTTGATTTTCATGAGAATCAGAGCTTCCAGTTGCTGGCAATTAACTGTTTTCTGCTTATTTTGTGTAGATTGAAGTCTTTTATCATCCTTCCCATGCCAGTCTAATTTCCATATTTTTGCGTACATTTTTTATTTTATTTTTTTGATAACCGAGAAATCCGTCTGTGACCCGCCCTTTGGACCAATCACAGCCTTCTAAACTCGGTGGATAATGGGCCCACCCCTCTACCCTTCTCCACTTAAATACCGGGCTTCGCTTTGCATGGTGTGGGGCTTGAACCTACGACCTAAGCCACAAATCCTCCACCTTTTGCCACAAATCTTGCATACATTCGTAACTAGGAAAGTTGAGTAGAAGTATAAGCCTTAAGCGTGTCTTCCTTATCCTTTCATACTAGAATTTTCAATCATTGTAGTATTGCGTCATGCTACCTTCTCTCATTTGAAACTTGAAGTTTCTTTCAATATTCATTGAATCTGGAAATCTATAGTTGAATTTGGCAACTAGAAACCATGAGGTGTGAATGAAAATGAATTCCCTATTTGTAGAGATGAGATGTTTGATGGCACATATCTAACATTTCTTCATTTTGATATACGTTTTCTAGTGCGTTGCAGATACTTCAGGATATATTCTTTGTTGTTAGTGTGTAAAGTTTTACAAATATGAGGGTCCTTGCATGGCAATATGATGAGTGCTATTGAATACTCTCTTTTGAGCTCCCCCCCACCCCGAAACACACAAATCTTTCCGTCCAAAGTCCCTTCTTTTTTTTCCAATTTCTTTGTTGCCCGTTTTTCCTATTAGTAAACTTGTGTGTATTTGTTTTTGAGGGATAGTCGGTGCTTACAATATCTATCTTCTATTGCAGCTACTGCTGGCATAAACAGGGCTGCCTCTAGTAGTACGACCTTGAACACCAGGAAACTTGATGAAGATACTGAGAATCTGGCTCGTAAGTTAAAGCAACACCTTTTACAACTTAATTAGAAATGTGTGTACGAGCATACATCATATTTAGATTATGTTGTGTTCTTTTGGTTGAAGTCATGTTTGCTTCTAATTGTTCTTTGGTGTTAACTTTGATCTCCTCTACATTATTTTGATGGTATTATGTTAACTACTTCTGATGTTTCAAACACATACTTCCATCAACGAATGTGTTTACATTTTGCAAAATTTTGAAATTTCTTTGAACTTCATTATAGTGAGAAGAAGATTCCTTCTTAAGATTTGCGAGTCAAAATGTTTTGGGAACACATCTACCCTGTCAAATGAAAATCGTCCTTGAATGCTTTCTCTACATCTATACTGCTTTATTCATAAACACATTATGCACTCTGCTATATTCATTCCCGCTAGAAATTGTTTTATTCAACATCCACAATTCTTATGCATGTGATGTCATGTTGCTGGGGATAGCGCGGTTAATTACTTTATTTCATTTGTGATCTCTCTCTTCTCTTTTATATGTTCTCCTTTTTTCACTCTGATAGATCTCCTGCTATTTAATGATCTAATTTTGTTGTTTGAGCTGTTTTGACTTCTGGATCTGTTTCTACTCATTTATGTATGCATTTCATCCTCAGCAAACAATATAGTAATATTTTGTTCCACAACAAACTCATTCCTTCATATGACAATATCTGCTTGAAATTTTTCGTTTTTTACCTTTTTGTCAGATCAAAAAGTACCAACTGAACTAAAGAAAGCCATCATGCAAGCTCGACAAGATAAGAAGCTGACTCAGTCTCAACTTGCTCAGGTATACCATTTTTCTGTCTTCCTCCTCCCCAACCATCCCCCTAAGACTTAAAAAGGAAGTAGAAAAGGGGGAAAATGAACAGATTGCGAGTACCAGGTGACTGATTCCATAATCTGTGTGAAAATAAATGGTTCTAATATTCCTTGTTGTTTTGCAGCTGATAAATGAGAAGCCTCAAATCATCCAGGAGTATGAGTCAGGAAAGGCAATTCCAAATCAACAAATCATCTCTAAACTGGAGAGAGCTCTTGGTGCAAAACTTAGAGGAAAGAAATGAAGAGCCTCTTGGCTTCTCAAATTTCTATTCTAGTTCTAACTGTGGCCATGTACATGGACAACTTTTTCTGTTAGCCCTCTTTCTATAACCACTGTGGTCAAGGGCGAATTTATGTACTAATTTGGGTCACCCGAACCCGTGGTCATCCGACTAAACTCGATATATTACTTCTATAATTATTAAAGAATATATTAAATTAAAACTTGTTGAACCCGTTCTCAAAATGGCTGGATGGTTCACTGGTGCCACTGCAAGATTTCAACTCACAGGTCGCAGGTTCGATCCCAGGCAGCCCCAATTCGCTTCAATTTATTTTTATTAACTAAAAACACATTTTTCATTAAAAAAAAAAAGAAGAAGCTAAATTCTGAAAGTTTAAAAGTCAAAAGACTTCAAAAGTTTCCTTCCCACACACTTTTCAAGTTCCAAGTTCCAACAATATTTTTCTTCTCT